CTAGTTGACCTAGGAGGGCAAGGAGCAAAAACTGTCCTTTATGTCCCTCTGACCAAATTAGTATAGGCCCCAAAGTATGTCTGTTTAACATCCAAAAAGGTTAGTTCCACCATTCTGGTACTTTTAATTACTGTATGCCATGTAGATAAATCTTGGGCAAAGACCAATTGTCCTCTGATAAACCTTACCTAAACATATATTTCTTGATCTGGTATGTATAATTTGTCAGTAGGTTCTTGGAGAAATATGGTTCCCACTGGTTTCAAAACTAGCTAGGCATTATTTATCTCTCGCATTGTCTCACCCCTCCATTATTTCCCTAATTAAGGTGCCCCCATTTCCCCCCTTTCTCGCTTAATAATACCCTTCTCCTGTGGTCCTACCTCTCTTGAGCTCCTTCTTTCCCTTTATCCCCTAGCTTCCTTGGATACCCTTCCCTACCCCCTCCCTTAAACTAACCCAATTTTTATCCGTATCTCCCTTATCAAGGCCTGTTTCCTACTGTTCTTCTCTTTGAAGTTCTTTCTTTTCCTGTACCTCCCTGTTTCCTTTCCATTATCCTGGTTCCTGTAGTTATGTCTGGATACATTCTCACTTATCTGGGTTTGGTTCTAGGATCCACATATGAAGGAGAACATACGTCGATTTTTTTTTCTGAGTCTATGTTATTTAGTATAACAATTTCTAGTTCCATCTATTTACCTGAAAATTTCATGATTCCATCTTTATTTACTGCTGAGTAAAACTCGTTCATATAAATGAACCACGTTTTCATTATCCACTCATCAATTGAGGGACACTTAGGTTGCTTCCATCTCTTAGCTATTGTAAAAAGAGCAGCAACAAACATGGTTGTACAAGTGTCTCTGCAATAGGATGAGTTCTTGAGTGTATACCAAGGAGTGGTATAACTGGGTCAAATGGTATGTTCATTTGTAGTTTTTTTAAGAGTTCTCCACACTGCTTTCCGTAGGGGTTGAACAAGTTTGCAGCCCCACCAGCAGTGGATGAATGTTCCCCTTTCCCCACATCCTCTCCAACATTTGGTATCATTTGTTCTCTTGATCTTAGCCAGTCTGACTGGGGAAAGATGAAATCTTAAAGTGGTTTTAATTTGCATTTCCCTAAGTATTAGTCATGCTGAACATCTTTTAAGATGCTTCATAGCCATCTTTACTTCTTCTTTTGAGAACTCTCTGTTCACCTACTTAGCCCATCTTTTAATTAGGTTACTTCTTCTCTTGATTCTCTTTTTTGAGTTCATTATATGTTCTGGATATTAACCCTTTGTTAGATGTGTCGCTAGTGAAGATTTTCTCCCACCCTGTGGGTTTTCTCTTCACTTCCTTGGTTGCTTCTTTTGATGTACAGATATTTTTTAAGTTTAATGAGGTCCCATTTGTTGATTCTTGACCTTATTTCCTGAGCAATTGATGTCCTGTTTAGAAAATCCTTTCGTACATCTATATCTTGTAGGCTATTACCAAGGTTTTCTTCTAACACTTTCAAATTTTTAGGTTTCACATTGAGGTCTTTGATCCATTTAGAGTTGACTTTTGTTCATGGTGAATTTTAAATGTCCAATTTCATTCTTCTAAAGATGGAGATCCAGTTTTTCCAAATCAATTTGTTAAAGATGCTGTCTTTCCTCCTCTGTGTCCAGTGAATGTTCTTGGCCCCTTTGTCAAATATCAGGTAGCTGAAATTGCATTTACTCATATTTGGGTCTTCAATTTTGTTCCAGTGATCTATGGGTCTATTTTTGTGCCAGTACCATGTTGTTTTTATGACTATAGCTCTGTAATACAGCTTAAAATCTGGTAATCCTTTGGCTATCCGAGGTCTTTTATGCTTCCATATGAATCTTAGGAAGGTTTTTTCCAATTCTGTGAAAAATGTTATGGTGATTTTGATTGACATTGCATTAAACATATAAATGGCTTTTGGTAGGATCGTCATTTTCACAATATTAATTATTCTCCATCTTCTGAAGTCTTCCTCAATTTCTTTCTTTAAAGATTTAAAATTTTCATTGTAGAGGTCTTCAGTGTCTTTAGTCAGATTTATTCCAAGATATTTTACATTTTTTACAGCTGTTGTGAAGGGGAGTGTTTCCATGTGCTCTTTCTCTGATTGCTTGTTATTGGTATATAGAAAGGCTACAGACCTTTGTAGGCTAATTTTATAACCTGCGACTTTACTGAACATGTTAATAATTTCTAGGAATTTTCTGGTGGATATTTTGGCATCTCTTAGATATAATATATCATCTGCAAAAAGGGATAATTTGATCTCTTCTTTTCCAATTATTACTCCTTTAATTTCCATCTCTTGTCTTTTTGCTCTTGCAAGTGTTTCAAGCACTGTTTTAAAGAGCAGTGGAGATAGTGGACAGCCTTGTCTGGTTCCTGATTTCAGTGGGAATCCTTCCAGTGTTTCTCCTTTTAGAATGATGTTGGCTGTGGGTTTGTTATATGTGGCATTAATTATGTTGAGGTATGTTCCCTCCAGTCCAATTCCCACTAGGACTTTGAACATAAATGCATGTTGAATTTTGTCAAAGGCCTTCTCTGCATCTATTGAGATGACCATGTGGTTCTTGTCTTTGAGCCCATTTATATGATTTATGACGTTTATTGACTTACGTATATTGAACCATGCCTGCATCTCTAGGATAAAGGATCATGCTGGATGATCTTTTTGATGTGTGTCTGTATA